CTGAAACATGGCAACTAAACCCAAAGAATTCACAATGTTTTATTATAATAATGTTCTCATTAGAATGTTATATACACGACATTCCCAATCATAGTTATTAATGTTGTGCACTGCTGTTTGAGCTGCGTGTGCTGAGCTAAAGATGATCACCGGTAAACTGAAGCGCTCTTTTAACTTAACCAAACGCATTCTATATGAGATAAATCAGATATACATCAAATAAACACAATATTACAACGTACAATTGCACAAAAGGCTGCAAACGAACAGCGCGCATCTGAAGTGTCTCTGAAGGAAATAATGCATTATTTATCGGCTTTAAGATATCGGCCAAATTTTCTTATTGGGCCGATACCGATAACAGAAAAAATGACCATTTATCGGCCGATACCGATATGGTGGCCGATATATCGTGCATCCCTAATAAAAAGTTATATAGTCACCAAAAAACGATTTCAGGATGATCTCAAAGGCTATTCAATCATGAAATTGGGAAGAGGTGTGTGATGCTGTTTCAGTGCTGTCAAAATAAACAAATGATTCTGACATTTTTTGCACTGTATATAATATACAGTTTTTAATTATGAAGCATTATAGTGAAGTATAACAATGTTTATTTTCATTTGACCAATTTTACGAACCACAAATCTTAAACCCAACTTTTTTCATCAATATAGTGAATCTACATGTTAAAAGTGTTACTTTTTCTTTCTTTTTCTTTATATATATATTTATTGTTATTTTTTGAAGGTGAACTTTTCTATATATTTTCTGTAATAAAAACATTCTCATATGAATATTGTTTAGTCGTATTATCTTTGTGAGGGGTCATTTTTATTTGTACACAATGTATGTCTTTGGTATTTTCTACAAAGTCGGCTATGAGATTAGTTGTCATTTCATAAGACTCACCTTATGTACTTATTTCAGGGCAGAAGACTTCGCTTTAAAAGTCTACTGAAGTGCTTTGAAAGAGCTCTTCTGTGTTGTCGTAATTTCAACTGAAACAGAAAGACAGGGCGGGACATATTGAGCAGCCCCGCCCCCTTTTTTAAATAGCCAATAGAGTTTTGTTTTGTCACAGCTTGGGCCAGAGCTGCTAAAGCCGCATTTGACAGCGTATGACAGCCAGTCTAATAACGGTGCTGTTGTAAATGGTGAAAGACATTTGTAGGCTTGATTGTACGTTATATGCAAAAAATTGTTTAAATAAACAGTAAAAACAAATTATTAAAAGAAACAAATGATTACCAGAATTTTTGGGCTCATGTTATTGGTCTCCATCTGTTTGACGCAGTTAGTTTGAAGCACCTAATAAAAAGCATGTCTCATGTTTATAACAACTTGGATAATGCACTTTTCCCGCGGAAGTTCTCTTTATCCTGCATTATTTTTCATTATTTGCAACAACAAAATATATTGATATAAATTGTATTGTCTTATCCTACATCTCATTAAAATAAGTTTACAAAGTCTAAATATCACCCAGACCTACCGTCTCTTTAACTGATAATCAGAAGTAAGCGACGATCAGTTATACGCATAAAGACTCTTGCTGGTCATCACCTACTGGTGCAGTGTTGTAACTTGCTGAAAGTGTCACTGAACGAATAACTTTTTGAACTGATTCAGATATTTAACTCCCTGAAATGAATCTAAATCCCCAACCATAGCTGCTGGCCATTTTCATTGTTTCAGTTGCCAGGGAGAACACATACTGAAAAATGGATACCATGAATGCACTGTTAGTCACTGTGTGCTTTTATGGCAGATGCGTTTATCAAATGTACAAATGTATACATGGGTAATAGAAATACTGAAAAACTTTGCTATTTTCCTGACCAGTGAGTGGCAATGTCGCCAAACTTAGCACCAGATCACGGTAAAGGTCATGTGAACCAGATGGACCCTTTACACAAACTGTGATGTGTTTTTATTTTTATTAACATCATTAATCTAGAGTTTATTTTTATTTTTATGTATATTAAAAAAAAAGAAACTAGGTAATGCTGCTGAGTGAGAAATTAATACAACGGCTGAAGGAGTGACGGCAAATTTGACATCTGTCTATCTTCTAACCATAATCTCTTAATATTTGTTTCCTCTTTTGAAGGTCATAGAAACACTATCACAGTTTCTCTCTCTCGCTATTGGGAATAGCTGCTGGCCATTTTCATTGTTTCAGTTGCCAGGGAGAACACATACTGAAAAATGGATACCATGAATGCACTGTTAGTCACTGTGTGCTTTTATGGCAGATGCTTTTATCAAATGTACAAATGTATACATGGGTAATAGAAATACTCAAAAACTTTGCTATTTTCCTGACCAGTGAGTGGCAATGTCACCAAACTTAGCACCAGATCACGGTAAAAGTCATGTGAACCAGATGGACCCTTTACACAAACTGTGATGTTTTTTTTTTATTAACATCATTAATCTAGAGTTTATTTTTATTTTTATGTATATTAAAAAAAAAGAAACTAGGTAATGCTGCTGAGTGAGAAATTAATACAACGGCTGAAGGAGTGACGGCAAATTTGACATCTGTCTATCTTCTAACCATAATCTCTTAATATTTGTTTCCTCTTTTGAAGGTCATAGAAACACTATCACAGTTTCTCTCTCTCGCTATTGGGCCAACTGAAAATGCATAAAAATTGATTTGTTCCAGTTTCCATTCACCACTATACAAGTTTACCTAACTATGATGGCTTCCACATCTTAAAACCCCAGAAATGTAAAAAGGGTCCATTTGGTGATTTTGGTGAAGACTGTACAAAACTTCAAAGAGAAATGTAATGAAATGTAGTTGTATGTTCTACTCTTATTGAATGATCAACATGACAAATTCATAGCATCTGGTCCAGCCAACTGGGGATGATGAGAGAGCTGGAGGACAAAAAACAATGTTACTAGACCAAAGGGTTCAAAGATACAACCAAAACAATATCCTCTTTGAGCTGGTGGTGGCACTAGAGCAGTGATGGGCAAACTTGGCCCTTCCAGGCCACTTTCCTGCAGAGATTTGATCCAACCCTGATATGACTCACCTGCCTGTAGCCTTCTAGTAGTCTTGAAGACAATGATTAGCTGGTTCAGGTGTGTTTGATTAGGGTTGGAGCTAA